GTCTTGTGCCCTGCTCTGTTGTGGATGCTGCAAAAAATGAACAGTGAACTTCAAACAGAGTTTGGGGAGGAGAAAAATGCATGTTGTTTCCTTCTGTTATTGCAGCAACAACAACAACAACAAAAAAAACGGTGTTGGTATTAATGTTGCTTCTTTTAAATACAGAATTATAGCAGGTACCAATCATATTAATACTGTTAATTCTCTTGGTGCTGTCTGTATTTCCAATTTGAGAAGGAAATACTTTATTATGGAGTTTATTGAATGAAACTTTTGGTATGAACTAGCTCCACGGAGCCTTAAAACTTGAATCCTTTTACACCTTGGTACACGCAGTAATTCTTTTGATGTGGTCCTGTGCTGCTTTGAGAGAAATGACAATAATAGTTAGCTAAACGTTGGATACCTTGTATTTGGAAGTTGAAAAATGTCTTGTCAAAAGTTTGAGTCCTTGTGTTCGCCTTGAATTTTAGTGTATTACTTATGGTTGGCTCAGACTTAAGAAATGTTTAGTTATTGTCGAGAGAAGTCCTGATGGTAAAATTAACGTGCATCTTCTGAAGTGCTTGTGCTGTTGTATAACTGTAGTTATAATAGAAACAGATGAACCCAGTTATAAAAACTATTGTTCTTATTAAGGGAAGAATCCTAAAACCCTCTGAAGGTCTTGACCAATTTTAGTCATGGTGATATGGAGACAGGACTTATTCTGTGAAAGGCAAATTTAAGGAAAGCTATGTGACTTGTAGTATTATATTATAGTATGTAAGCTGTAAATATTGGTGAAAATGGATATAAATATGGTGTCAGACAAGGAACCAGAAGCTTTTTGTTATTGATAAATTCCATGTGGGTATAGTAGACCTTCTAACCATATCCTGTTATGGAAAAGGTTTTGTAGGAAATTTATTCAAGTTGTGGTAATGAGTTGAAGGCAAAATCCGTTTTGCTGAAAGCTTCCAATAATGAAAAAGTAGAAAACTTCTGGTAATGAAAACTCAAGAGTGGAAAATGTCTACAGCAATGAAGCAGTTTTAGCAGTATGTGGCCCAGTGCTTGGACAAACTGACTCCAGGTGCCTCCATCAGTAGGTTCTGGATCCGGTGTTTTAACAGGGCTTGTGTTTGCCATTTGAGAGAGTCCCATAAGGAACTGTCACCACTGGTGGCACATTTGAGTAGTGCTTATGGACGAAGGGCTGTATACAATTCCGGTTAGATCTAGAGGTTGGCAAGGCCTCATCTTGCACAAGTACMGCTCCTAAAAGTAGCTTATTGTTGCTGTCTCCTTTGCTTTCRTGTGTTCAAACTCAATATGTCAATGTGGTGAACTCTGAATACATTTTACCTGCTGTGACCCAAATTYACTGCTCAGCTTCTGAGTATTTACAGCCTCAGACTTGCTTGAACTGTTGTCAGTGTATCGCTTCAGTGCCCTGAAATCTTAATTTAGACAAGGCAGAGATGCAGGTATGTTTTGTCTCCGCTTCCAGCCGTGTGTGCTAGAAGACAGCACGGCTTAAGGTGACAAACTGGAGGTTGTATGTTTTTGAGTGCTGTCAGAATTCAGTTGGCTGAATTCAGCTCTAGCTGCTGGAAAAAAAGCCAAGTGAGGGATGAGCTTAAAGTTTGTTACGTTTGTGACTTTGCTGCTAATCTCCAAGGACAATCTGCTGCTAGTGTATATGGTGGCATGGTGAGCAAAGCACGGTCTCCACGTGTTGCCCCCTTCCTGCTGACTTATTCTTGCCCCAATAAATTTGTTATTGAAGATTTTGCTGTTGAAATGGGCTGCACCTTTGGACTTGCTGAAGCTTAAGAGAAAATCTATTGAGGGACCAAAAGTGACGGAAGTTGGATGGTGGTTATGAGGCATCAGGTTCTGTGTCAAACTCTAGACTCTCCCTTTGCAAAGCTCTTCAGGGCTACCCTGGAAAAGGTCAGAGGAAGTAAGAAAAGATGGAGACTTGGTAAGAGGTGGTTGACCACATGAGTATGTGTTTAAGATGTGCTCTGCTCATATGGAATGACTTTGAATGCTCTTCTCAAGCAGCAATGCCATCGAGAGCTGCCTCTTTCATGTGACCTGGATCCTCTGGCTGCTTTTACAATTGGGACTGATGCAAGACCAATGTGTTCAAGTCTGGAGCTTTGCCCTGGGCCTTGACCCTCTCCATCATAAAGCTGATGAGGATGTTGAGCACATCTCTTAAGGACTCTTTTTTTTTCCCCCATTCCCTCTGCTGCAATCACAGAGACCAACTGGTCTAAAAACTATCAAMATACATAAAAGGTTGGACAGCGTAACTATCGGGCTAGAATTAGCACTCCTTATGTTTTAACCTAAAAATGTTCCAAGCTCTCAAACGACCATTGCTCATGGTGTTAAAAGGGTCGTTTTTAAGGATTTTTAGTTGCTTTTTAATTAACAAGGAGGGAGGGCTAGACCGAAACAGGATGTTTAGTGGTTATACAGCTGATAAGACTATAGACACCAGTGGACAGGTTTCTCTCACCTGCGATAAGAAAATATACTTAAAATGTCCTGCCTTGGTTATCTACTCACCTGTGAGGTTGAAAAAGGGCTTATCCATTTAATAATCTACTGTAAGGATGACATTCTTTTTAGCTTTGGTAAAAAGCTCAGCTCTTGCAAGAGGAAAATGGTTTTATAACCTGTGCTTTTTCCACTGACAAGTCAACGGCTTCACAGCAAAATGTGTAGCCTGAACAGCAGCTGATGTTTCTGCATTTGTTTATTCTGCAATAATTTGTTCTAGTCAAAAGATGACAGCCTGCAGCGTGGTCCATGCTGAGAAACCTTGAATTAATTACCTCGCATCCAAAATTTGACAAAAGCATGATTTTTGAGTGCATGGAGAGCTTACACTGAATAAAGACATTTACTTGATTCTTCCCTCTTGTCTCCTGTGCTAGTTGGAAGGGCAAACCATCAGTGGAAGCAGAATATGTATTTCCTTTCTTTCATATCATTCATGTTCTTTCTCCCTCTATACCCTAACCAACATGTGGATGTCAAAAATCTTTCCTTCTACAAGTGGCCATGCTGGAAAAATGAAACTAGTGCTATAAAGAGCGGTGATTTGTTTGTCTGGACCTTCGATGTTCCTCACCTTGTCCTCTACACTGATGTGTGGTCTCCAGGAATTGATTTACCCCCATGTGGTGCTTGGAGTTCTGAGTGTTTTAAGTTCCCTGTCTCAAATTTGGCCCCTCTTTGTGTTTTGATGTGTGACTGGAAGAAACTGCAATCCCATGGACTCGGGTGTCTGTCTGAGTTGCCTTTGGTACGTGCGCTGTGATGGTTCATCTTGGGCTGAAATAAGAGGTGAAGGACAGTCTTGGGCACAAGGGGAGCATGGGACAAGCACGGTGGCCTGCAAAATATGTTTTATTTAGCAGGAAGAATATTGACTAGTCCTACGTGGAGCCCACGGGACCTTTGTGCACCGTGGTGGTGAAATGTGGACCAAGTTGCACCAAGTTGCCCTTCCCAACCTTGGATTACAACTAAACAGATTATTACTTCTTTTTTCCTTCTTTTTTTTTTTTTTTTTTTTTTTCTTCCTAGCCTGGAATGTTGATTTGTTTCCTTGGCATAACTTTTAATAATTTGGGGGTGCATTTGTAAGCCCCATTCTGTAAATATACGAATGAGTGATTTGAGGAATATCTTCCAATGTAGTTATGTTGTATGCAATGTACATAAGGAGAGAATGTATTTTGTTCATTTTTTTTTCTTAATAAAAATATATATGCTAGCAGAAGTGTGTGTTTAGTATCTGTTCACTTTTCCGTACCTTGCTCCTGAGAATGGGAATGAGTCCGTGATGGTCTCTTGGAAGCAGTTGTGGTGCATAATGTCTGGACACCAAACTTAGCTCCTTCCGAGATGTCCCTGCCGCCTCCCTTTCCACCGCAGGAAAGCCAAGAATGTGTCTTGTCCCACAAAACTGGTAATTAGCTGGGTCTGTATCCCATAAATCCAGTGYTGTAAGAACTTTTTATTGGGAAGGAACACAGAGCTAAACATAGGCTGATACAAACCGCTGCCTTTTCATACTCGAACCAAGCTGAATGAGTGTTTTCCCACCCGCCCCCGCTTTTCCTTGCGTAAGTGGAAACTTGTTCCGTGCAACCTGGAACAAAATGTTTTGTTTTGGCCACGTGAAGAGGAATGCCAGTGTTGAACTGCACTCGCTGATCCTGCTTTGCGATGGCCCTGCTCCGTAGGGTGGTTTTAGCTGTGACCAACCACAAGGGGAAGCCAAAGAGCAGAGGAACAGCAGCTTGTAGGTCAATCCTGAATTCAACCAGAGCTTGTCTCCTATCCAAACCACCCCATGAAGGATGTTTGCATGCTCAGCCCTGACACCTCCGTGGCAGCATCCTGGCTCTTGTCCCTGCGTTCCTGGTGTCCCCATAGCATACCTTAGGAGATGGAGCAARCTATCCAAGGAAGCTCCAAGCTCTCTGGCCATGGGAATGGCTCTGGCCAGGGGGAATGGCACACGCTCAATGGTTAAGATCTTTTGGGGTCATTTGAAGGGACTCTTGGCCCAAACTGTGATGGAACCACCCTTGTCCACATCAGCCAAGCATCCTGCCCTTGTGGTTTTACAATGTGTTTGATTACAGGATGTTTTTCCACCGCTATGCAGTAGATGTGCAAAGTCCTCTGTGGCTGGATCCCCCTGAAGGTCTTGGATGTTTTTTTCCTCCATCTTGGCCAAGTGTCTCCATGTTCTCCCTAGCAGAACCCTGCAAAGCCTGTGATGGTGGTTCCAAACAATAGCTGGTTGTGACATCTAAATAATTTATGGTTCCAGCTCTTGACTAAAAGCTTGTGTTCTCTCTCTTTTTTTTTTTTTTTTTTTAAGTCTGCAAAAAGAATGAGTCTTTTACATAAGAACCTTTATTGACAGAAATACATGGTGCTTTCAAAATATAGCTGTAGGAAAACGCAAAAATAATCTCTGTAATCCAGTTTCTCAGTCCGTTCCAGTGTAAATCAGACTCCTGTCCCCGAGAGAGACGCGGGCGGCGAGCAGGGAGGCTCCGCGCTCCCACCGCGGCTCCGGACGGAGGGAAAAGTCACAGTAGAAACTTGGGCCGGGCACGTGCGGACATTTCCGCGTGCTCCTCGTGATCCCAAATAGGGGAAAGTCTCTCACGAGGACATCCGAGCTGCTTGTAGAAGTCTCACCCGGAGGTAAGAGCAGTGATCTGCTTGTACAGCGAGTCTTGAGTTAAAGCTGTTTTGGGATGGGGAGAGAAGAGGGTGGAGAAAGGAAGGGGAAAAGGGGCAGAAGGAAGGAAATATTGGGGTCAGTTTTTCTTTTTGGTCTAACAGTGATGGCTACAGTCTACCCAGGGGAGCATTAAGGCCCGAGATGATCATCGCTGCATTTCCTACCTGATCGTTTGGCGAAAAGAACAGTATCGACGTAAAAACTTGCTTATTTGTGTGTGTTTTTTGTTTGTTTGTTGTTTGTTTTCAGGCAGTATTTCTTTAAATAAGGGAAGAAGAAAAAAAAATCTACTATAAAACATCAGCGCTTTTAAAAATACGGTGTCTGGAAAAATAAATAAATGTACAATTCCTATTCAAATATAAATTGTTATAAGCACTTTGCCGAGCAGTCGATCTCTTCCCTGCTCTCCGTTCCTGGAGACTCGGAGCTGCTCTAGCGCCAGTCCCTGCTCTTGGGGTGGCTTTGGGAAAGTCTTTGGACCTGATTCATTAAAGGCGATGGGATTTTAGGCACATGCCTAAAGCCTTCAGCTGCTTCTTCTTCATCATCTCTTTTTACTTGTTTTTATCTCTTTTTACTTGTTTATTTTTAGTTTCCCCCTCCCAAATTACTTCCCCTTAGTGTGGTGCACATGGCTAACGAACGGCACTTAATATATACATAAAAAAATAGATGGGTTTGAAGGTTCAAACCCTGTCCTCTGTGGATGGCATCTTCTCCTGCTGGAGACACAACTGCCCTGACCTTCATCTATAAATATTTTGGGTTTCCCCGAGCTTCCCTCTTGGCTTCGACTGGTCCTGGGGCCTCATTCCCAGCATGAGCTGCTGGGAAGCTCCCAGGGCAGGTCTGACCGTGGACCTTGTGCGTTGGAGCCAGTGGCTTTGGGATCATCCTGAAAGGGCTGGAGAAGGAAAGGAGGTGTTGGGAGCTGCTTCATGCCGAGGTCTTCTTGCAGCTCGCTCGTGGCTGCTGGCATCTCCCGGCAGATTTTTGATTTTATTTGGTGTTTTTCCAATGCTAGGCATCAAAAATGGGGCACAAATGGCCCTTTCTGCCAACCACAGCAGCCCGCCCTTGGGGCACTCCATGGGCAGGGAAGGCAGCGGAGCTGCTGGAAGCCCAAGGGCTTCCCGAGGCCTCCCCAAAATCTGGGGGTATCCAGCAATGCTCCAGCTCATCCACACAGGACCTTCTCATCCACCACCTTGGCTGTGAGGAGCTCACAGGGGATTTTYTGGGGCTTGGGAGGGGAATTCTGCTTTGCGTTGGGGTCTTGTGTGTGCGTATGGGGAGGGCGACGTGGTCTCTGGCTTGGGGGTTGTCTTCTCCTCGCAAGCGCCCGCCCTTCTATAGATGCGTGTCCTCCTCTTCCTCCAGCTCGTCTTTGAGGAGCGTGTCCAGAGGCACAATCCAGCTGTCGCCCAGCTCGCCGTTGAGGTTCACCTTCTTCTCCTGCATCTCCGAGGAGGTCTCCATCACCTCCAGCGTGGGGTTGTCGTGGTAGCCGTTCTCCATGGTCTGCAGCTCCTCGGTCAGGCGCTGCTGCCGGGAGGGAAGCGGGGACATCCCGGTGAGAGGTGGCAGGACCAGAGGTGCCCGTCCCGCTTGGGACCCATCCCGCCCCGCTTGCAGCCACCGGCACTTCCCACCTCGCTCCAGCTGACAGCATGTGCCTGTATGTAAGTGTATGTATTATATATACATGGATATTTAAAAGTTGGTGCGGTCAGTGCTTGGAGCAGCTTGCAGCAGCCAGGGGACAGCTCAGGCTCGGCGAGGGGGCTGTGGGAGCTTCCCCCTTCTCTGCTCCCTTTTTCCACCCATGCAAGTGATGCCCCTGGTCCCTTTTCCCACTTCAACCCGGGAGCCTCATCCTGCCCCTTTCCCTGGAGTTACTYGTTGGTTTTGCTCCCTGCGAGGGCTGGTTCCTGGTGCCTCCCAGTGAGCTCTTTCCATCCCACTCTGAGTCCGACTTCCTCCCTTTTTAGGAAGCATTTTATAGGGAGCAAGGAACTGCCCTGGCAGCAGAAAGGTGTCTTTCTGGTGCCCTTCTGTCGCTCTCTCCACACTCTTATTTTGCCTTCAGATTCTCAGCGATGCTCAGAAACTGCACTTTTTCAGATGCTGCTTTTGCAGAGGATGCTCRAACTCATCCCTATCCTGCCGGCCACTGCATTTCAACCTTTTTCAAATCACTCCCATTTCTCCCCCATCTCTCCATCCCTCCAGTCCCAATCCACCTGTTTTTTACCCCAAACACAGCCTGCCCGTTGCAAATATAATACAATGCGATTTGCTGGCATGGGATGCAATTTGGCGGGGAGGGAAGCACAAGAGCTCATAGGGAGCCGCACATGCGGGCTCACAAAGCCAGGCTGGTTTTAGTAGGTTTTAGTCCTGTTAAAAGCTCTCAAGACCCTCAAAAGCGCCAGGATGGGGTAGAAGCTGTGGGGGGTTATGGCTCCAGCCCCAACCCSCTCCCTGCCCTGCAGCGGCAACAACTCACATTAAAGATCAGGGCCACATGTCCATCATCAAACCCGGGGACATCGGGGTGCAGGTGCTGCTTATTTCCAAGGTTTAAATTGGGGAGGAGAGGGGGGAAAAAAAAGAAAACCAAAAACAAAAAACCAAAACTTTCACGTCACTTTTCAAAAGAGGCAGGAAAACAAAAAAAAAAAAAAAAGAAAGAAAACTTAAAAAAAAAGAAAAAGAAAAAAAAAACACTCCCAAATAAAAACATGAAGGGGGTGAGCGGTTTGCATGGGACAATTGCTTGCTCACTGTTCTCATCTCCTTCTTCCCTTCCCTTTGTACAGCTTTAACAGCAATGGTTCCCTTCTCCATTTGCTTCTCCTCTTTTTTCTTTTTTTTTTTCTTTTAAGTTTGCAAATTCTAGCATTTTTTTCCCCTCCAAAAGCCCAAACCATCCTGCTCATGTGGGTGTCACTGGGGCTCTGTGGATGCTGTGGTGATGCTCCAGCACCACTCTTGCCTACAGTGATGCTGCCTCTGCTCCCTCCCCAAATCTTGGCTTTGATGGTTGTGTTTGCATGTCCCCAGAGTCAAACTCTCAATGGAGACCAACGTCAGCTTGGGATTCACCTCAGATGGATGAAACAGGGAATGGAAGGGTTTGGGGCTCTTTGGGTTGAGAAGAAATATTCCAAAAATGCTTCAAATTGGGCAGGAGCTCTCCAACTTTCCTAACAATACTGCAGGCTCCCTCTTTTGGCCTTTCCCATAAAAATTATGGTTTGACTGGAGGAGGATGGTCAGAATTGTGTGCCCTGGGACTCATATTGCTCATCTCCATGCCTCAGCGCCACCAGCCTGTCACTGTTCTTTAGTCTTGGTCTTACTGCTCTCTCCATAGCTCCCCGTGGGCAGCTACTGCCCCTCTGAAACACCAGCAGCTCCTGGGAATCAGTTCAATACTGCCCTATGAGCCTAAGAGATCCCCATGGGTGATATCAACCCCAAGAGTGGACATCTCTGCCAGGAGAACTGGAACAGCTGAAGCTTTCTGTCTCCTGCAGGCCCCTCTGGGGCAAAGAACCCTTGGGGCAAAGTTCCTTCCCATCCCTTCCCACTGKCATACAGACCATCCTGGTCCCCTCCTCTTCTCTAACTCCAAGTCTCCTAAGTCCTTATAGCCCATCGGGGCACCCACTGGCAAGCAGAGCTCACCTGGTCCTTCTTGTGGGAGAAGCGTTGGTGGCAGCAGCCATAGATGGCAGCAACGAGCAGCAGGGAGCCGGCCAGTGTGACGATGGTGATGATGAGAGGCGTGCTGAAGCGGTCCTTGATCTCCTCCTCCTGCTGCTCGTTGTGGAAGGTGACGTTGGTGATACCAAGCTGCTGAGGGAAGGGTGGGTTAGGGCTGCACACGGCCAGTGTCCATCATCCAGGGACACTCCTGGAGGATCCCAGCTGGACAACATCCCCACAAGGGCATTTACCTCCTCTAACTCATCCTTCTTCTCCTTCAGCTCCTTGAAGACCTTCTCAGGGTCCAGGTGAACTGAGGGAAGATAGAAGGCATGGTGAGTGCCTGGGTGGAGGAGAAGGCCATCCAGGAGTAGGTTCAAGTGTGTCTCTTTTTGAAGGAGGTACACAATGCTGCATGACATGGGGCTGGACCTTGCCAAATATGTTCAAAACCCCTCCAAGAAAATGATCCAGGATCTTTTTTCCTAGCAGGGAGGCAGCATAAGAGACCAAAGAAGGTCCTGGAGGCTCCTTGCAAGAAGATGARGAAACAGGAGGAGGGGATCAGGGGTGGCAAAGCTGGAGGTACAAGACTCCCATTCCTAGGCCACATGTCCCACCTCTGTCTCAAGCTCTGGTTTGGGATCAGCAGTTCATCTTCACATGCATCTGCCTTGATGTGTGAGGATGAAGGGTCTCCAGCTTTCTCCCATGAGAAACTACAGCTGGATTTCACTGAAAGGCTTCCAAGTAGTTGAGAAAATCCCCAAATACCTTTCACCTACAGGACAAGTCACTAGGCACAGTGCCTTGTGCCTAGACATACAGTGCAAGGGAGAGGAGGCTTGTCTGGGTTGAGGCTGTAGCTGTCCAATGAGCACTGGTGGGCACTGGTGGGTAGGTAGCTCCCTTCTGGGATTACCAAACCCCCCATGGAGAAGACCATGGGACAGACACCCTCAGTGAAGCTCTGGCAGATCCCAGCTCCCAGCTGAGTCTCCAGCAGTGGGACTTTCCAAGGGACAAAGCCGGTGTCCCTGTGACACCCACCACCCCAGGCAGGGGTCCGGGCGTACTCACGGTGCACGACGGCCCGCACGGCCCACCGCTGCGAGCGCGGCTCCGCGGATGCCAGTGTCACCGTGCACTTGTCCCTGCCGGGCTCGTAGCTGTAGCGGTCTGTGGAGCAGAAGGTCTTGAACAAGGAGCCATTGAGGGTCAATGCCTTCCACTCGGCCTGCGGAGATAAAAAGGCGTCGGGAGCTGAGACTTGATGGTTTCCTCCTCAACCCCACCGCCCCAGCATCTCCAGCCCCATGCAATGAGCTGGGCAGTTCTCAGCACAATCTCTGGGAAACCCGTGAGGATGGAGGTGCATCACAYGCCTTCCCTGGGTTGCTGCCACCAGAGACGTTTTGCTGCTCTCTGGAGCCTCCTCTCCACCACCATATCCCTCTGCCTGGACCTCCGTTGGGGCCAGCAARCAGGAAAGGTTAAAAGCAGCTCTCTGGCTGCCGTTCCCGCCGGGATCCCCGCGCTGCCCTTATCTGCGAGCAGCAGCTTGCAGCGTTACAGGAACAGCAGCATCTGGGATGGGGATCCGACCCGGCCGCTCGCCCACTGCCCGGGACAGGGATGCTCCAGYGCCCTGAGCAGCAGCGCCTGCCCAGGAGGAGGAGGAGGATCTGCCTGGGCGAGGAAGGCACATAATCCCACCCCGTCTTATCTGAACATTAGGGAAGCAACTCCAGGGGCGGCGAGTGGGGACAGGATGCACGTGCTGGCGGCGGGAGGAACAGTCCCCGGCCGAGCCCTGGTGCCGCCTGGCTGCAGCGCCCTGGGAACCGGCGTCCGGGGAGCCTCTGCTGCAGGAGAGCTCATGGAGCAGCGGGAAAATGCACCAGCGGCTCGTTCCCTCCAAGCATCCTGGCGCCTCCGGGTTTCCTCCCAGCTCCGGCGTCTCCTCCTGCTGCTTTTAGATCATGCATCTCTCCTACTGAACTAGGCGGAAGCCAAATCTTTAAATCCTGGAGGAAGGCAGGTGCTGAGGGTGGGAATTTAGAGCCAGGGCTGACAACCAGCCTTCGATGGGTGATCTCTGCCTAACCGTTTTGCAGCCAAGAGGTGCCCAAGCCTCTCTGCCCATTACAGTCCTGTCCCTTGGGAGGGATTTCCTATTTTTTCCCTTTTTTTTTTTTAATTCTCTTTGGAGGCAATGCTGGGCCCTGGCAGCTCTCCTCCTCCAGCCGGCCGCATTCCTTGGCTGCAGTTGAGAGGCGCTGGCGCGTTGAGCTAATCCGGTTCCCACACTGGYGGGGACCTAAAACTAACATCCCCAAATGAGGTAACGGCGCTTGAGTCAACAAACCGCCCTGGCCAGATGGCCAGGGCCACGGAGACGGCGCAGGGGTCCCCGGGCTGTCCCAGGGACCATCCCAGGGCAGATGGGGACAGAGGAGGAGGCCGCTGAGGTGGCCCACAGCACTGGGGATCTTTCTTCTTCTCCAGGTAGTGGGGGAAGGAGTATCCTGAGGGTAACAGCATGTGGGAAACCAACAGCTGCAGTGATGCCCCTTGGAGCAGGGCAAAGCAGGGCTGTCTGTGAAGGTTTTCTTGGTCCATAGAGGGTATTGGGTAATGAGGACTGAAGCAGTTTGTCCAGAGTGGTTGTGGATTCGCTGTCTTTGCTATCATCCAAAACCCAGCTGGGCAAGGCTCTGTCCATCCTGCTCTACTAACCCTACTTGAGTGCTTGGTTGGACCAGAGGGTCTCCAGAGGTCCCTGACAGTCCCAATATCTGCATCATGGTGAAGGATGACCAGACCAGCCAGGACACCTGAGTTAAGGCCCATGCAATCTCATTGGCTTGTGACCTCAGACGTGGTCACTCCCTTCTTCAGGAGACACGTTTTAGGCTGGGGATGAGAAACTGGGCAGCTGCATAGGCTGCAGAGCCCCAAAGAGATAATGAAAGCAAACTAAAACCCAGCTTGAAATCAGTGTGCTAGCTGAGCCCATGAAAAGTCACCCTATCTGAAGTGAATCTAGTTAAACAGTGTCTCATTAGGGGACTATGCTCATTAAGATCCTCCCATAATTGAAAGAAGAGTCAACAGAGAGAGTGGATGAACCTGGACCAGACTGATGAATCACTGATTAAAGGTGCCAATTGAAGGGGAAAGATCCTAGGAACGCTTCAAGAAATGCCAGTCCAAAAAGTTACCAACAGCCACATATTTGACTTTTTGTTTTATTTAGGATCTATGATGTTGTTCTTTTTAAAATATATTGCAAGTGGCAAAATGAAGGGGCAGTGGGTTGCACTGCCTGCAGTTCCCAGAGTCGTTCCCAAGAAGTTTGCTCCAATCACTGCCCGGGTGTATAAAGCACTGAACAAGCCCCAGGGCAATGTGAGGGTCTCCTCTGCCACTGATGTGCCATAGATCACCTGGGGATCCCTCACCCTGGTCCTCTGTGTTCCCTCTCCACTCTTTATCTGCCTCATCACTGAAACCAAGTTTTGATGTAAGCTGTTTGTGCATACAGCACCTAGCACAATGAAATCCCTATTTTGGCTCGTCATTCCTAGCCAGGAATTGAGCCATTTCTGGAATACTTCTCCTTAGAGCTCTCACTTTCCTGTTTTCCCACGGGTTGCAAAACTCAAAGGACTTTTTTTTCACTTTGCTGTCAAGATTTGGCTAGAGACTTGTTTACCAGGTCTACAAAGCAGGGAAACCAGATAGTGCCATTTCTCTGTTATCTGCTCTGCTCRAGAGGCATAAAATTTGCTACAGTTTTCAGGAATTTGCAGAATGGGAAGCTAATGGGTRGGAGGTGCACTGACACCTGGTGAGGCCAAAGCTAGAAGGATGCACCATTGCAGACATCACCATCACTCTGCGTTCATGGGGCTTTGATTCATTATTCATTATTATTTGTTATTAATGCTAAGCCACGAGGTTCACCCATCCCTTTACTCTGCAGTGTGTCATGACACACCAGCACTGCCAACTTTGCTAACCAAAATGCAGCAAAGCCTTGCAGAGTATCTCAATCATGAAATAAATACGAAATTGATACTAATCCTCAATGTGAATTAAACCATATACCTCTATTCCACCTCAGTATGGGCACAACTGTGCCTTTGGACCCCCTTTTTGTCACCAGAAACCAGTACTCCATGTAACTAGCAGGGTGATTTGCTGGAGCCTTCTCAGAGCGGGAATTTCAAGGGCTTTTCCAACCATTTCCACACAACCCCACTATGTGAGACTGCTGGGTGTTGGATTGCATTTACCCCTCGAAAGGAATTGCACCTTAGATCCATGAAATAATTACTGTCTCTKCAGGCTTGTGTGCTCGGAGCTCTGCGGGTTATAGGCTCATGACTAATTGCAGCACAACTGCGACTCCTACAAAGAACACCAGCCAAGAAGAAGGAAACTCAAAAAAGATGCTACTTACACAGGTTTTAGCTTCTTTAAGGTTTATGATGGGCCAGCTATTTTGCATCTGATCTTCACAAATGACCTAAAATACAGAGGAAAAACAACTCTTAAATCACTACCATGGATTGAAGGATCATTGATACAATAGGCTGACTAAAACAAGAGCTTTGGAAACAGCCCAGTCCAAATCTGTGGGCAGTTTTATGCAGAGAAGACAAACGGAGGAGTCTTCATTCATCCCCCAGCCTCCATATTTCTTTGCTGGAAAGCTAGAGGGGAAATGGATTTGTCTGATCTTGTGTTGCTGGCTCATATCTATACACAATTTTCCAAAGACAAGCCTCTCTCTGACTCAGACCTGGTGAGAAGGGCTGCAGGCTTTACACATGGATTGAATGCCAGCTAAAAATTAATATGTTTGGGGTATCAACTCCAGCTTTTATTATAAAAGCCTGCAGAGAACTGCTATGTGCACAGGGAATGCCTGGCCCCTACTCCCCRGGGCACAGCTTGAAGATGTTCCCAGTGTCAGAAAGATCATTCAAGAAAGAGYATCCTTTTCTGTTCATTTCTTGGACACCATTATGCAATGTTCCCCTTCCATAGGTGTCATTACCTCATTTTGGAAGGTATCGTTAGGGTGCTGAGGGCCAGGCCTGCTGCTCATCGTCTGGTGCCCGGGGGTTGGGGACGATGACTGCGTGCTGGTTGGGCTATGCGCAGCGATTACAGGTTTGGTTGTCACAGGTCCTTGTCCATGGCTGGTCTGACCTGGGTCACCAATGTACACCAGAAAGCAAGCAGAAAGACACTGGTTCAGTAGAGAGGACAGGGCTGATACAGCTCCATCTGTGAGCTGCAAATTGAATTTACAGTGACATTTCTTTGCATCTCTGGATCTGCCTTGGAGCATCCTGTGTCTAGCAATGTATGTACAGCTTTGGGTCTTCCTCATAGTCTACCTGAAGGTGACAATCAAAGAGAACCGAAAGGCCATAATCTGCTTACAGCCTGTTTAGGGGTTTGCTTTTGTGTTTTTTACTGCTTCCATGATAAATGATGGTTATTTCTCTCCCAGAGAGATTTTGAAGGCTCCAGGAGAGGGTGTATTTCAAAACCAAAAATATTACTTGGATGTCTTCAAATTCACGTTTGAGATCAAATTTGAATCAACATAATATTGTTCTTTATCTTTTAATAGGAAATAGAGCTCTGGAGCATGAAGGGAAAGAAACATCTTGCTTGACAATACCCTTTTTACCTTCCCTTGCCTGGTAACATGCCTGAAGCATGACCTGAATGGATGCAGTAAAGGCGGATTTGTGTTATGTCTGTGGCCCGTTTTGTAATGCTGACAACAGGAGGAGCTGCAAGGCTGAGCGAGAGAAGATGGCTTTGCAAGTGGCTTCCACATTGCAGGCAACTGGGAAACGCATCAAGATCAAACAGCTATTCTCTGAAGGAAAGCACAGATGAGCTTCAGTGTCACAGCAGCTTTTATTCAGGGCCACACTTGACCTATGTCCACAATCTCCCCTAAGTCTGAAAGGCTCTGTGAAGACTTCATAGTCCCACCATGCAACTGCTTCCCTGTAAATTCTATRAGAAGAACTGCCAAAGGGGAGCCCAAGCTGTGCTCAGAGAGGCAGAGCTGMCAAAGCTGTGCCTCTCGGAGGACGTTTGCACACTCCCTTGAACATTTATTTTAGAGAATGAACTCTCAATCACCAAGGGTRTGGATAAAGTATACTAATGGTGTTCAGCAAGATCCAAAACAGATGCTGCTAAGACAGAACCAAAACCTTCCCAACTGCATAGACTCTTTAGAGACTGTAGACTCAGAGCTTAGCAGCAGAAAGCTTGGCTTCTGTGCAAGCCCAGATGGTCTTCACTGAGCTGTCAGCYATGCCAGCATCTTCCACTTTTAGTATAGAGGGTGCTGTCAATCCATTCAATTGACTCTTTGAATCTACAATGTCAGACTCTTTCACTAAACTCCTCTCTGTGGGCTGCCTTTGCAGTCATTGAAGATCAAGTCTTTGCAGTCAATGGTGCTTAGAGCACAGYTTAGTCCACCTGAAAGCAGATGTTTACATTTTGTCAGAGGATTTCACCTTGAATTTCACTAACTGCATTGATTTGATTGTCACTGAGGGGAACGGGAACCTAAACACTCAGTTCACATGGACTCAACTACTCTGCTAAGTCGCCAAATGAGGCCCAAATACCTCTTATTGACACAAGATATTTAGAATAGCCAAAAAAATCACAAAAACAGTTCCAAACCCAGATAACAAAGGTTCTAATTTTCTGGTACCTGCACCAGAAGTCAGAGTGGTGGTTGGCAGAGAGACTTTATCCATACTCCCAGGTGTTAAAGTCTGGGATGTTTTACTAGCAGTGGGGGAGATGGATCCAGCAGAAGGAGTAACAGAAGTGCTGACACTTCCAGGTCTGATGGAAGAGGCTGATCCCTGGACTTCAGAACTGGGAGAAGAATGAGGCTGCTGGGAGGCAGGTTTGGTGGAGGAAACGTGATCCTTGAGGCCAGGAGAAAGGCTGCCCGTAGGGATCGTGGTGCTGGCTGCAGTGCTGGGCAGCTGCAGCAAAGGAGGGGTCCCTGGAGCTGCCCTGGGAGATGTGGCAACGGTGGTGGTTTGTGAGCTGCCTGAAGGGCTGTTCTGGTGCTGAGGTGCACTGGACACCACAGCAGTGGTGGATACCAATGGTGCTGAGCTGGCTGAAGGGTTGGCACTGGGCGATGGAACAGGGATGGGTGGTGGGCCTCCAGGCTTGCTCGTAGGGCTGATCCCAGGAGCTGTGCTGGTAGGCACAGTAAAGGTGGACGATGTCTTCCCTGGGGCGCTTGTAGGACTGGTCATTTGAGCTATGCTGGAAGACACAGCAGGAGTAGATGGTACCGTTGTTGAAGTGTTTGGAAGGCTTGTGACTAAAGAGGGAGACGTAGAGGGTTTGGATGTTGAGCTTCCCGTGTTGCTTTTTGACATGACTCCTTGAGTCGTGGCGGGAGGCACAGTTGGGGCAGAAGGTGGATTTCCTGCGTTGCTTTTAGAGCTGATCGCTTGGGCTGTGCTGGTGGCTGTGGTAGAGACAGGAGGCGCATCACCTCCGGGCTTTGTAGTAACTGATAGAGAAATGCTGTCATCCTGAGAGCTGACACCTAGTGAAAAGCAAAAAAAAAGCACAGATAGAATCATAACTAGCGAAAACATCACCAAAAGGCACATTCGCATAAATTTACAAAACAAGGTACAGCCTGAAATTCCCTACTAGGTAAACTATGGAAATGTTTATTCTACTTGCTCCAAAATAATAAATCAACACTGAACAGGGTTTCATGCTTACTTGTAGCTCTGTTATTTTAATTTCAAGGATGTTCAAATCAACCATCCTTGGTAAATAGTATCACCAAATTATGATTCCTTGTTTGTTTAGCTAATTTTTTTTTTCTTTTTACTGTTCAGGAAAGATGGAGGAATTTGCATAAAAGTGTTTAATGTCAGTGTGCAATTTCAAAGATAAACCTTAAAAAAAAGAAAAAAAGGGAACATTCCAAGATTCCTTTAGGTAAGAAATGCAGAACCAAGCACGGGAACAATGAGCTCCATCTACACTGCCCACACAAAACCCCAGAACTGTTATGAAAGGACAACATTAACCACAAAATTCCCCCATGCTTTTCACCCTGTGCTCATGGAGCCTGAAACATCACTTAGAAATGCTGCTTTTATCACAGCTTACTTGTTTTTGAAGCCTTTTACTGAGAGCCGACCTTAGTGGGAAAAGAGCTCGGCTCAATGTAGAGAGCTGTGCCCGGGCCTGGCTGCTGCTCAGTTATCTCACATTATCATTCACAAAGAGATCTGTGGGTCTGCCAGCTGATTTCTGAAGAATACTTTAAATTCTCAGATCATGAGGCTGTTCCTCAGTGAGGTAAGTGGCCAAAGGACGGCTCGAGAAAAGAGACATGCCACAATGATAAAATGTGGTGCACTCATTAGTAGACTGGATATAAAATTCAGAGATTTTTTTGTTTGATTCTGACCATTGGAAAGTGGACCCCATCACTTGCCATGAGATAATTTTGATCCATTTCTCTTTCTTTCACAGAACYTCGTTATTCATACTGGTTGCAGTTCAAAGATCTGATGCAAGCTAGAGTTTCTGAGACTATCACCTTGGCTTCAGCTGAAGAAACCTGACCTGGGTCAGTGCTGCCAGGCCTGGATCTGGGAGGTAGAGCCATGTTAGAGACAGGACCTAGGAGCAGGATTTGAAATGGGGAGGCTGGGCAACATGTGGAGTCACCAGAGGACCCTTGGAAGCTGCCTGAGCATGGAATGGGTTTGAAGGGTATTAGAATCTGTGCTGGAATCTGTGCCACCAGGGACAGGCATCCATATAGGGAAACTCAAGGATGAGAGAAATGACATGAAGGGCCCCATTCCCAAACATATTTTCTACTCTTGGTTCCCTACTAGCTGTTTCTGAGACCATCATTAAGTTATGAGGGCCCCTGGTGTGTTTTGAGATACATGATCTGAAAGGTACCATGATTAACAATTTTAAGTAAAACAAGTATGGCGAATTCCTTGAAGAAACCTTGGATTTGAAAGAAAAAAAAAGATTTCCACCAAAACAGCATTTGTGGAGGGATGTCACATTTCTTATCAAATCAATTGTTTTCTGAATGTGGAGAGATGAAGAAGTGAAACTTTGGAGTAAGATTAGGCATGGGCACCCATCAGGTACAAAAGTTAGGATTGAATGGTCTTCTTTCTCCTTAGATGGTCCAGATCCTCACCCTAAAGACAGAGTGAAAACAAAGAAATGTAAACAAAGAAAAGATAGGAAGGAAGGTGGAAATATCCCACTGCTGTCACTTCCTCTTCATCCCACAAGGCCCAGAGTGGAGGAAGCAAGTGCTCACCGAAGGAGAGGTGGAAAAGACAATTCAAACCAACTCGATCCAAAGGAGAAAGGGGAAGGTCAGTGCTTTGTCTCTGGGCCAGCGCCAGTGGCCAGCCAGGATGCTATGACCCAAGAAAAGAGTAGCCCGGCCTTAGTGCTTCGCACATCCCATCCCAGGAGCTGTGGTGCCACCAAAGAGCTTTCGCACTATGCTGTTTGTAGCAACTATTGGGTAAAAATGCCCCAAGCAAGGGGTCCTGTGCACCTCTCCTGTGCACGAAGGGTAAGGGATCTTAAAATGTCACTTTTTCTTCTRTGTTTTTAAACCATGCTGAAGGATTTAAGTGGCATATGAGGAACCTGAAGAGCCTGTCCTCCCTTGTAGTTTGGGAGGGGTGGATCACCACCAACGAGGGTGACTGGATGAATGGACACATTCAATGGGTGCCAACCATGCAGACACATAGGATGCTGTAGGACACAGGCCAGGCCTATGTCAGGTGATGCTAAATGCTATAATGGTGGAAATTTTGGTGGGTAATGACCTGCAACTCTGGCAACAGCACCACAGATGATTTCATCCAGAAAACATTTTATCACATTGCTACTTCCCTATAAACCCACTCTTGCTCCAATGGGCTGGATGGCACCACTGAGGAGCCTTGGGTAAAAAAATCTCCCTTCCCTAAGTTGACCTGAAGGCCATATCCAGGATGGAGAGAGATCAGTTGCTGGCTGAGTCCTCCCATGGAGCGCCTGTGATCATGTCCCTAGATGTGTCCCCAAGGTTTTTGGCCACCCATCTGATAGTGACATATACCAGGACACTGCTGAATTAAAGCATTCTCCCATTCACAATAAGCCAGGCCCTGCTGAGCAATCCGGGATGGACATTTTTATTCTTTCAGCATTAATATTAAAACTTTGTCCAGAGCTTATGTCTCATTGCAGCCTTAGAAAATATTTTTTCAGAGTGGAGAAGACTGAAATACATTTTTGGTGAGTAACAGTGCCACCACCAGCACAAGACCTGGCTTAGGCAAACTCATCACTGTTGTTTTGAACTAACAGCCTACCAAATACCCAATTCCAAAGCATAAACACAGGCAAAACAAAGAGCAAGAGCAACGAAAGGCCAGGAGTTGCTCTTTTCTTTCTACACAAGCTCTAGTACTATTTTTTTTCTCTCTCTTTCTGACTGGCCAAATCCTTGTGGTGGACCTGGTGGTAATAACTGGTCATGAGCCCAATTGGGAACGATTTGGTCTAAAAAGAAGAAAAAAAAAAACCCTGCAAAGCACAGATCAATGGTAAGAAGAGGCAGATAGGATAAGACAATGCTCAGTGCCCCTCTAACACCCGAAGTGGTCACAGAAGATGCTGTATTTCCTGGAGAATGACCTTTTCACACTGTGAGCCCAAGGATGAAAGGATTTAAGGCATGCAAAGGGAAAAAAGAAGAAGGGAGGGGAATTCTGCCAAGTCACCAACGTCAACCCCCTCCCTTACCAGGAAGAGATTATTTCAATAAGCCTGAAAAGGAAAGTTCACTTGGATTTCAGCCAGAGGCCCTCACCCCATTTTCAAGAAAGCAGAAATAAAATTACCTGCCTCTGACCTTTCTGGCTGACTTTTGGCAGAGCAGCACCCGTTGCTGGAGGTCACTTGTTGGACCATCAGCATTTCATCAAGTTATTCAAAAATTGCCTAAACTAACAGTTACGAGACTGCGTGTCTCCCATCAAGACGCTCTCATGGCTGGAGGTGGGGAGGTCTTTTAGCACTAATATGAGTCTAACAACCAGGATCTGCACCTCTCCTGGTGCGCGTGTCACCCCAAACCCTCCAAATCCTTGCATACCTTAGTGGGAAGTGGTGCAGATCTGCCTGAAAGACAGATAGACGAATAAACAAATACGTACATCTCCAGGAGAAGCAGGCAAGCCTTATATGCACGCATGCATGCGTACAGAGAGCAAATAGCCTGGAGGAAATGAGTACACTGCGAAAACATGATTTCATTTCCTGATGTATGCATCCTACGACTACATCGGCAGTGCGGTGTCTCTGCAACGGGGAGAGCCCTGAAGGGCTGAGAGCTTTCCCTGACTGCTAGCTACAAAGACAGCCTGTTTTCACCCAAAGGAAGCAGGTTTGGGAGCCCAGAGATGTTGCTTTTGGTCTCTGCTGCTCTGAGTCTCCTCCTGGCCACCGCTGGAGGATAAGCATCCTGATGAGGAGCTGCTCTGATGTGAAAAGTCCACCCAAAATGGGCAAGGAAAYGTGTGGTGTTTTGTGCCAACGGAATTCTCTCTGCCATCAGTTGAGGGCTGCAGTTTCCAGCATGCCACCCAACAATGCTCTCCTTCCACCATTCTTTGTGTACACGAGGTCTTTGCAGGCCGGGGAAGATGCCCACAGGGGAGGAGGTTATTTGGAAAGGCCACAGCTCTGAGCATGGAAAGAAAGAAACTGCATCAGTGCAAAAGGCAAAGCGAAAGGACATGTCCTGCTCCTCCTCTCCGTGCAGCTCCCATTGCTAAACTAATTCCCCACCTCAGAGCTTCCCGTTTCCTATTTCTGTAAYGCCCCCGCCAGCCCCTACCACCTTGTTGAAACAGCTCAAGATTGGCTAAAAATCTATTAATAGTGCAAAAAGGAAGCTCAGAAGAATAACTTCGGAAACGGCGGGTGACACACCCYGCTGCGGCGGGCCAGCAAGCCCGGCTCAAAACCAGTTCCCGACGGGATGAGAAACCTCAGGAGACTGAGTGACCCGGGGAAGGGGAGGGAATATGAGCCAGTTCCTATCGGTCTCTCTGTTCACAGCTTTTCCTGATCTGGAAAGGGCCGGGGGTTGAGTTTGTCACAGGGAAAAGGGGAGGGATGAGGTTCCAGTGGTRGCTTTCGTGAGGGGCCACCTTGAGGGTGTACTATAAGGACCCAGCAGACCAGGTATTGTCAGAAGAGCACAAAATGTAATTATTTATACTGGAAGCAAGCTGGGCTACCGGAGCCAGCTATAATTATGAGGTGTTCAGATTTCCGTCATGGACAGATTTCCTCCTGTCCAGAGAAAGACAGATCCAAACTGCACCATCCTCTTTAGCTACCTAACAAGGTTTCGGCAAGAGCCATGACCAAGCCACACTGCTCGCCCATCATTCATCACCCTTGAAATTGCAGCTTCATCTTGGCACCTTCATTTACCCAACACCTTCACTGCCACTGTC